CTGTGTTACTGTGACTACAATACCTTGTGCCCATATTACTGTGACTAAAATACTGTATGCCCATATTACTGTAACCAGAATACTGTGTGCCCGTATTTATTGGACCAGAATACCTTGTGCCCATATTACTGTGACTAAAATACCATATGCCCATAATACCGTGTCCAGAATACCTTGTGCCTATATTACTGTGACTAAAATACTATGTGCCCGTATTACTATGACCATAATACTGTGTGCCTATATTACTGTGACCAGAATACCTTGTGCTCATATTACTGTGACTAAAATACCATGTGCCTATATTACTGTGACCAAAATACTGTGTGCCTGTATTACTGTGACCAAAATACCTTGTACCCGTATTACTGTGACCATAATACCTTGTGCCCGTATTACTGAAACTAAAATACCTTTTGCTAGTTTTACTGTGACTACATTTCCGTTGAACAAATTTCCTGTGAACAAGTTACCGTGCGCCATTAAATAAAACAGTGGTCATTCAATTTATTTACAGAATGCTGATAAAACTGACACAAGCTACAACTACAGAAACTAAAGTATCTCTTCTATTTGATATTGCCAACACCTTATTTTATCATCTGGCTACTGTTATTACACAAGAAACTGATTTTTATCCACCAACAAAACAATTCTTTACATCATGTATAGAAATACTTGGACAAGTATGTTTTCTTTCAATGTTTGTTTCTTGCCTAATTGCTTTAAATTAAATTAATTATATTTCTTTTATGTATTTTACTAGATTCACTCCAGCTTCACTTTAAAAACTTGCAATGTCAATGATCCACTTTACTTTCCGTGATTTTTTTTTGCTCCAAATCTTTTAATGATTTTTTTAATTTTGTAGGAATTTATTTCAAGAGATCCAAAACAAACTAAACAATTATTACAGTTCTGTTTGGATAATAGTAACTTATCCAATCTAACTTGTCAACATTTTCAACCCAATAACAGTCTAGATATATTTGTACCATTATATGAACGCTTAATACATGTTTTACAACAACAAAACTTAGATCTAGTCTTTATGTTACTTACTAAGGTACGTATTTCTATTTTTTCATTTAAACTACATATCAAAATCTTCTTACTATAGCCTTTGCATGTCAGATTTCTATAGATGGTTTTTAAGACATGTGGGCTCTCTGTTCTTGAAGTATTTCATTCAGGTAGGCATATATTTATTGTCCATCAAGCTTACAGGAGTCTGATGGTTTATTGTGTACCTAATTTAAAGAAAAACTTAATGTTATTTTATACTGACAGCTATATCTTATTGTTATTTTAGTTTGATGTTAAAATGTGGTTAGAAAAGGGTAAACCAGCTAGAGAAAATGTTAAAAGATTTCTCTCAGTTTTGGGATCAGCTTTGATGTCTTGTGGTGCTGAACCAGAAAAACAGTCCAAAATTATATTTGATGTAAGTTTTAATATATAATTAAGTTATGCGACTCATTGAAGTTGTGTATATGAGAAAAATATTTTGGGTGTTTGATAAAAAATTTAAAAAAATATATATAGATAGAAAATATATTAGAATTGCTTTTGTAGCATTTCCTTAGAAATTCACCATTTTGAAAGAGTTTACTTCCTTGATGTTTTTTTTTTATTTTCAACTTTTTGTCTTAGTTATATTGTGGCCATTTACAACTGGTTTTAAGAGCAGACTATCCTGCTTACATAATGGATGTACTTAATATATTGTTACAAGGTAAATGAAAATTAAATTTGATGTGATTAAAATTTAAATAGATTTACCCTGGGCTGTTCAATTTAATGCCTTTCCTGATTTTACTTTGGCCAACAAAATAGATGTCAACTCACTTGATTCGATGGAAACTTAAAACATATTATGTAAGGATGAATCATGGACTGGTTTTCCTGGATTTATTTACAAAATGAAATACTCTCCTGAAATTTGACAAAATATTAATTTCAAAGTTCAGTCTAAAATGATTTGTCATTCAACAAAGGTACTCCAGCAAATGATGTTATAAAGTTCCTAAAGGTAATGAATTATATTAAGATTTAATGGTTGTTATTTGTCTAGGTTCATCAATAGAAAGATTACATGTAGATTGTTGGGAGATGTTTTTGATGATATGTTTCACCTATAATACCCAACAAACAGCAGAAGAACATAATTATAAATTTGATCTGAATGCAATACAACAATGTCGAGATATTCAACTTTCTACTGCAGAGGTAAGGATGATATCTCATAATGATAATGATAAAAAAACTAATATCTTTCTTTGGACGTAAATTATGCCTAGTCTGTTTACAATTTAGTCTAAGCTTTCTACTGCAGAGGTGAAGGCTTGGGATGTAAATTGTGCCTAGTCTGTTTACAATTTAGTCTAAACTTTCTACTGCAGAGGTAAAGGCTTGAGATGTAAATTGTGCCTAGTCTGTTTACAATTTAGTCTAAGCTTTCTACTGCTGAGGTGAAGCCTTGGGAGTCTGTTTACAATTTAGTCTAAGCTTTCTACTGCAGAGGTAAGTTTGAGATTTTAAGCATAGTCAGGGCCAGACTAGCTCTTCTTGATGCATCTGAAATATTCAACTTCTTAAATGGCCACGCTTGTTTTTTTTTCCAGGTCAGTGAAATACTGAATTGTTTAACAAGATATTTCACTGAGTCTAGAAAGGGTACAACTACCGAGATATGTTTATATGGTCTCTATCCAGCATGGGGAAGATATGTACCCTATATTGCTCAGTTATTAAGTGGTTTTTCTAGAGCATTAGTCACTAAGATGTTGTTTAACTTGTCAGACATCGATCCTTATCAAGGTATGGATTATTTTACATTTTATTATCTTTATAAAAATAAAGATAGGTACAATTCCTTCTAAAACAAATAAAATATATTTTTGTTAATATATTTCCCATATCATCAACATTCTTACATTCTTCATCAAGTTACAAGTTCATTGGCTGCTACCAATGTTTTGCCAGTATGTTGTTTGGATTGCAGGTTTTGTTTTGTGGTTCGAATCGTTAGTACATGGTTAATTTATTGCAACCATAAAATAAAAACTTTTAGGGCAGTATTCACTTAATGCTTTTTGTGTAATATATTTCAGTTTTAGATGTGATATGGCAACAAACAATAGGTGTATTTTCAGCCTGGATAGAACCAATATGGAGTAATAATCAACTCATATCACCATGGCATGAAGGGGATGATCTTGTAGCTAGTGAAATGGTCTATGCTTTTAAAAATATTATTCAGTTTATATATAATGAATATGCAGGTGAGAAAAATTTTTGGTTATATTAATTTGGGAAAGTATTTGTACATAATGTAACACCAGTTGTGTAAAAGTATCTGGCGATATTCAGTGTTGGACAATTAGGGTTAACATTTCAGACTAACACTAAAAAGAATTTTGAAATTTTGAAACAAAAGTCATTAATTGTGAGGTATCTTATGATTTATAGAGACTGCACCATATTTTGATGTAGATGTGAGCTAGATTTTCAGACTGAATATATCTTAACAGAATTTGAGTTAAATTATGTTGTCTACTAACAGTTGTTTCTATTTCAGAAAAGGCCCCTGCCTACTGTAGCAGTGTTTATTCTCTATTATTGATGTATTTTATGAGATCATTGGCTAAACCTGGTCTTGTTGCTCATGTTGCCTCCACTTTTACTGCTGAACTTTTAGATCTTAACTGGAATTTACTCAAACCAGACCTTCAATTATTAGAAACCATGACTACAGTAAGTCAATTTATAAAACTGAGTGGACAGGAAGTTCAGAAACTATTACTACAGCAGGTCATTCGAGCTTCAAGCTATAAAAGCTGATAAGTTATGTTACATGATAACACTTGTGTTAATATGAGATACGTTTTTTACTGTTTTAGATGCTAGTTTTGGAAAGGTTAACATGATGTATATTTGTAGGTTAAAGACAGTAGCTGTGAAGATTGTTTCTATCTTATTGGTAGTGTATTGTGCTGTGTAGAATGGAATGATATCTGGGATTATCATATTAATCATCAACCACCAGATATAGCTTGTCGTTTTCAATCAACATTGTTATTGTTATTAATACAAATATATACCTCACCTAGTCTATTACAAGTAAGTTAATTAACATTGTTATTAATATTAATACAAATATTAATACAAATATATACCTCGCCTAGTCTATTACAAGTAAGTTAATCAACATTATTATTATTATTAATACAAATATATACCTCACCTAGTCTATTACAAGTAAGTTAATCAACATTATTATTATTATTAATACAAATATATACCTCACCTAGTCTATTACAAGTAAGTTAGTTAACATTATTATTAATATTAATACAAATAATACCTCACCTAGTCTATTACAAGTAAGTTAATCAAGATTATTATTAATATTAATAGATATATATACCTCTCCTAGTCTATTACAAGTAAGTTAATCAACATTATTATTAATATTCATAGATATATATACCTCACCTAGTCTATTACAATTAAGTTGATTAACATTATTACTAATATTAATATAAATATATACCTCACCTAGTCTATTACAAGTAAGTTAAACAACATTATTATTAATATTAATACAAATAATACCTCACCTAGTCTATTACAAGTAAGTTAATCAAGATTATTATTAATATTAATAGATATATATACCTCACCTAGTCTATTACAAGTAAGTTAATCAACATTATTATTAATATTGATAGATATATATACCTCACCTAGTCTATTACAAGTAAGTTAATCAACATTATTATTAATATTAATACAAATATATACCTCACCTAATCTATTACAAGTAAGTTAATCAAGATTATTATTAATATTAATAGATATATATACCACACCTAGTCTATTACAAGTAAGTTAATTAACATTATTATTAATATTGATAGATATATATACCTCACCTAATCTATTACAAGTAAGTTAAACAACATTATTATTAATATTAATAGATATATATACCTCACCTAGCCTATTACAAGTAAGTTAATTAACATTATTATTAATATTAATACAAATATATACCTCACCTAGTCTGTTACAAGTAAGTTAATTAACATTATTATTAATATTAATAGATATATATATATACCTCACCTAGTCTATTACAAGTAAGTTAATTAACATTATTATTAATATTAATACAAATATATACCTCACCTAGTCTATTACAAGTAAGTTAATTAACATTATTATTAATATTAATAGATATATATACCTCACCTAGTCTATTACAAGTAAGTTAATTAACATTATTATTAATATTAATACAAATATATACCTCACCTGGTCTATTACAAGTAAGTTAATTAACATTATTATTAATATTAATACAAATATATACCTCACCTAGTCTATTACAAGTAAGTTAATTAACATTATTATTAATATTAATACAAATATATACCACACCTAGTCTATTACAAGTAAGTTAATTAACATTATTATTAATATTAATAGATATATATACCTCACCTAGTCTATTACAAGTAAGTTAATAAACATTATTATTGATATTAATACAAATATATACCACACCTAGTCTATTACAAGTAAGTTAATTAACATTATTATTAATATTAATACAAATATATACCTCACCTAGTTTATTACAAGTAAGTTAATCAATATTATTTTTAATATTAATAGATATATATACCTCACCTAGCCTATTACAAGTAAGTTAATTAACATTATTATTAATATTAATACAAATATATACCACACCTAATCTATTACAAGTAAGTTAATTAACATTATTATTAATATTAATACAAATATATACCTCACCTAGTCTATTACAAGTAAGTTAATTAACATTATTATTAATATTAATAGATATATATATACCTCACCTAGTCTATTACAAGTAAGTTAATTAACATTATTATTAATATTAATACAAATATATACCGCACCTAGTCTATTACAAGTAAGTTAATTAACATTATTATTAATATTAATAGATATATATACCTCACCTAGTCTATTACAAGTAAGTTAATTAACATTATTATTAATATTAATACAAATATATATCTCACCTGGTCTATTACAAGTAAGTTAATTAACATTATTATTAATATTAATACAAATATATACCTCACCTAGTCTATTACAAGTAAGTTAATTAACATTATTATTAATATTAATACAAATATATACCACACCTAGTCTATTACAAGTAAGTTAATTAACATTATTATTAATATTAATAGATATATATACCTCACCTAGTCTATTACAAGTAAGTTAATTAACATTATTATTGATATTAATACAAATATATACCACACCTAGTCTATTACAAGTAAGTTAATTAACATTATTATTAATATTAATACAAATATATACCTCACCTAGTTTATTACAAGTAAGTTAATCAATATTATTTTTAATATTAATACATATATATACCTCACCTAGTCTATTACAAGTAAGTTAATCAAGATTATTATTGATATTAATATAAATATATACCTCACCTAGTCTATTACAAGTAAGTTAATTAACATTATTATTGATATTAATATAAATATATACCTCACCTAATCTATTATGATATTAAGTATAACCGTTTGTTATAACTATCTAAACTTATAATTTGTAGGATGAAGAGAAAGTCAGATTATTGAATAACATGGAGAAAAGAGAATGGAATTTTATCACTTTATCAAGTTATAGACAAGCTAGTAATGTTTTTTTAATGTCTTCTCAACCAGCTAGTGTTTTAGCCGAAAGATCAAGTTCTGCTGCTAGGGGACTGGGGTAATCATTAATTTCCTTATTTGAACCCAGACAATTTGGTCCATATCACTAGCAAGGGAAACATATGTATCAATTCAATCTTTGTTACTAAACAACCACCTCAACCATATTATTATGCTTTTTCAAAATTGATGAACTTTTTGGATCCAATTCTTACATGGTTAAAGGTTTGATGAGGAACCTTTTATGTGAATCTTAAAACTAAGAGGTAATATTTGCGAGTCATTGGTGTGGTGTAAACTTTCAAACTAATTTGATATGATTTTCTTATCAGGACTTAATGTGCATTTTGGGATGAATATAATGTGATTTTATTTTTGATCTAAACCTTATTAGCTATTATTGTATCATTTTAGGCTAATGAAGAGTGCTGGATGTTTCTGTAATGATGTAGAAAACATGTGGTCTGGAGATAGACAAGCTAAAAGACAGATGTATATACATACAGTAATATCATTATTATGTCAATGTACTTATTTACCTGATATCAACCAAGAAACATACTCTACTGTTATAGTTAATTTATTAACTGATTTAGAACAGGTTGAACAATCTAGTAGGTATTTTTTTTTTTTAGATTCTAGATATATAAGATCTAGTTTTATAGGGCATTGTTATTTTGGTAATTCAAACAGGTGCCGATAAAGTCAACTCTTCATTTTAAAATATATGATGAGTTTTTAAATAGCTTCTAGCAATTGTACTATATATGTTTGTATTACAATAGTAAAAGTACTGAATGCACAAAAAAAAAAATATTTAGTATTAGGTATTGCCCTGGTAATTTTTACTGTACTGTCAAATATTTTTATTCAAAATCAAAGCTGCCAGTGAGCGTATATTACCTTGCCTGATAAGCTATCTTTGTTCCATAAAGCTGTGTCTACGTCATAATATATTATATGACATGCAGATTGTGTTAGCTTAATCTGAACCCAGTTGTTTTTTTTTCAGTTTCAGATTGGACAAATCAGCAAGCCGAATGTGTAGAGTTATTAAAGACTATTATTAGTTTATTGAATAATTGTAATCCTGAGGGTAATTGGAAAGATATTACCATTACTACCATGAATGAATGGATATATTCCTCACCTAATAGTGTTTTATTAATACCATGTTTAAAAGCTGCTACTAGAAACATAGCCTCCTATAATTTAATGGTAACTGTAATGGAGAACTGTATTGATGTCATCTTTCATCAAGGTATATTGTTTTCTTCTTTTAATACTTTATTGGTCACTCTCTATGCTGTGTTTTGAAGTGGAAATGTCAATATTTGATAATGTTTCACTGTCTATACATACACGTATCTAACTACCTTACTCCCAAGTGATCTCATTGCATTGTTGTGAAGGCCATTGGTCAAGATGTGATTATTATATTCATTGTAGAATCAGGATTAAAAGATTGGACCCCAGTTTTAACTTCATTTCAACCACCAGATAATAATATAGATAGATTTCTAGATGAAGCTATTAATAATGGAGCTTATCTAATTCTTCAAACATATTTATTACAACAAATACCATTCTGTCAAAGTTTAGCTGATGAATTTAAATTGATGGAATTAACTGTCAACTGGACTGAAAAGGCTAAGCCTGGGTAAGTTGTCCTGTGATTGATAATTGTTATTGAAGGAATGATAATTGTTATTATATAGATGATAGTTATATGAAAGAATGATAATTTTTATACGCCCACATCTCTCTATGTTTATTATAGAGGAACAGATCATGGTGATTATGATGATTGTTATTGTAAGAATGATAATTGTTGATGTAAAGATGAATTTTTTTTGAAGGAATGATAATTGTTTTTAAGGGACTGATAATTGCAATTGCAAAAATAATATATGTTACGTTGAGAATGATAATTGTTATTAAAGGAATGATAAATGTTGTTAAAGGAATGAGAATTGTTGTGAAAGGAATGATAATTGTTATTGTTGGAAGAGAAGTTAAAATAATTTATAACAGCCAAACAAACCATGACTGCTTTACAAACCATGAAAACTAATAAACAGTACAGTGAATATAAAGACCAGTGTGATATATTATGTGTGTTTATACAAGATGAAATGATTTGTTTTAGACAAGCTCACACTGTTATTAGTCAGCTTATTCAAGCTTTCTATCCTGATAAATTGTATTTAGGTGTAATATTAAAGGCTCAAACATGATTTGTTAAAATTCTCCCGCTCTATAGAGAAACGGCAATCAGTCATGACAAATTATAGCATACTTATTTAATATTTTTACATTTACTTACAGTAGCCTATGTATGGTAATGTCTTAATCCTTTTGTCTTTTGTCTAATTGTTATTGTTAAAGGATTGATAATTGTTTTTAAAGGAATGATAATTGTTTTTAAGGGACTGATAATTGCAATTGCAAAAATAATATATGTTACGTTGAGAATGATAATTGTTATTAAAGGAATGATAAATGTTGTTAAAGGAATGAGAATTGTTGTGAAAGGAATGATAATTGTTATTGTTGGAAGAGAAGTTAAAATAATTTATAACAGTGTATTTCCATGATGTTTTCTATTAAAGGAGTGATAATGAAAGTAAACTATTAATATGGTGGTGGAAGTTGTTAACTCTCATGGTAAATTATATTGATAGAAAGGGAAGTACACAACACTGTATACAATTATTATATAGGCTTATTGCTGCTTTACAAATACTAGGTGAAGATAGGACTTCCACTGGATTATTAGGGGCCTTTGGATTTGGAAGGAAATCACAGCTTTCATTACGGTCGGTATTTGTTTTTAAAAAGAATTCTCATAAAATCAAGCAATGAAACTTTTAGCTCTTGAATTCGAGCTCTTTTATAAGCACTGTGACAGGTGTCATGCTATATCTTTAAGAACAACTGATACCTTTCTAAATTGCTGTTTGTCAAGTACCACTTTGGAAGTCACCTGCAGGTCAGATAATAATTACTGTTGTCTGTATATCTTTCAGATTCCGTATAACAGCTAGGGTGATGGCAGCCTTTTTGTCTTCTCAGATATTAAGTGTGACAGAGCTACGTTTGACAGCACGACCAGACCTTTCTTCAACCACTACAGCCAAACAAACCATGACTGCTTTACAAACCATGAAAACTAATAAACAGTACAGTGAATATAAAGACCAGTGTGATATATTATGTGTGTTTATACAAGATGAAATGATTTGTTTTAGACAAGCTCACACTGTTATTAGTCAGCTTATTCAAGCTTTCTATCCTGATAAATTGTATTTAGGTGTAATATTAAAGGCTCAAACATGATTTGTTAAAATTCTCCCGCTCTATAGAGAAACGGCAATCAGTCATGACAAATTATAGCATACTTATTTAATATTTTTACATTTACTTACAGTAGCCTATGTATGGTAATGTCTTAATCCTTTTGTCTTCTTTTTCAAATATGATAACAAATGTTTTATAAATGTAAGAATTTGTGTTTAAATATATCATTATAACAGTTGAGAAGCTCATATACATGACATACATAATGGTGTCTTTATATAGCTCCTTACAATTACATACATCTAGAATTGAAGCGATTTTATGACATCACTGATCTAAAAAATCCTGTAAAGTGACTCCTTAAGCACTTGTTCATTCTACAAGAAAGTCATGACATCAAAAGAAGAACTCGAATAGAATATAAAGCTCACATGTAAAGCTTGACAGATAGTAAATTTTCAATAGGACAGTCTTATCTGAATTGTTATTAATCCTTGTTTTGAACATACCGAATTGTCATTGGTTTTTGGTGTTAAATATCATGGATATACTGAATTGTTATTGGTTTTTGGTATTAAATATCATGGATATACTGAATTGTTATTGGTAATTAATAACATGGATATAATGAATTATTATTGGTAATTAATATCATGGATATAATGAATTATTATTGGTAATTAATATCATGGATATAATGAATTATTATTGGTAATTAATATCATGGATATACTGAATTGTTATTGGTAATTAATATCATGGATATAATGAATTGTTATTGATTTTATTGAGTATACTCATTATGAATATTTATCCTGTGCCGTTTTGTGAGAGAATTTGTTTTGTTTTGTTGATTTATTTGTAAAAACAGTTTTTCAGATTTATACAAAAATTAACTTAAACTTGTTTTTTTTTGGCTGAGACTCTTATATTTATTTGGTCAGGCATAAATTGACATATCATATATGAGACTCAATATGTTACCTATATAGTAGTGGCGGGTGTCGCTCGCGAAGCAGACCATGCATACTCTTTTACAACTACTACTATAGCACTTTTACTCTTGCCATTCTTTGGACGAGATTTTGATTAAGAGAATTGTCTTGCCTTTACTCTATCATTGAAATAAAACATCTAGTGTGTTCAGGTTTCAACTTGACTAAAGTGCAGATATCTCTTTTGTTTTGTATTCTTTTTGTGCAGGTCACCGCTCATCCATAATCTGACAAATTTCTTCTTTGTGTCAAATTTTTTCTAAAAGTGTTCAAATTTGGTTATAATTCAAAATCACTATTAAAAATATTTAAGGATGAGAACGAGTAAGGAAATTTTTTTATTGAATTGATTTTTATAACCAAGAACATGCAATGCATACTAATTTTGTCAGATTATGGATTGCAAGTGAAGTCAACCACAGCTATAACACAGAACAAAACATCCCTGCTTGCATCTTAATCAGATCGGTTCCGGAAAGCTATCTTCATGGAGTTGTCTAAGTCATCACGGTACTACACATCTCATATTAGGTGTTAAGAGCCCAGTGTTATTATTGACTGATCATAAATAACAAGGAAAGATGGTTTGATAAAATAAAGACAAAGTATATTTGGCACTCGATTTATTTGAGATATTGCACATTATCACAGTCATCAATTTGTATATATACATGATAAATATCTTCAGAAAAACCTTTTATATGTCACTGTTTATATATGTACAGAAAATCCATTTGTTATTAACTTGCATGAAGTAATTATAATGTAATTATATACATGAACATGTAACACATATTTCAAGCCATCAAACTTCCTCAAAATGAAGGACAATAAATCTTTAAACTGACTTCAAGAAAAGTTAACAAAAGTCTTTAAGTTGAAAAAACATGTTGAATATTTTATTTTTCATGAGCTTTTTCAATGAATACTGTACCTAGAACAAAACTTTAAACCCAAAGAGCTTGTGACAGGTTCCAAAATATTATATCATCTACTCTTTGTGAAAGACCTCAAGTAAAAATCATTAGAAACATCACATCATTTCTTGACATAAGAATAATAATACAGAATAAAAGTTATCAAAAACATTTTTAACTGATGTTTACAAAAAAATTCCAAACCTCTTTAAGTCTGTCTTCACTATTTGAGCAAAAGCTTCGGAAGTCTGCTAGCATTTTATTTTGGAAATGTTCATCACCGGTATTTTGTGAGCGCCATCGTTTTGATAACATAAAGTTCCATGACCACAAGAATCCTGTTTCCGTTTTTTGTTTTTCTGGTTCACCTTGTCTATCTATATAATCTTTATGCATATCAGAAGAAGATTTTTTCACCATGCCTATAGTGTAAGGTTTTGTATTATTTTTGGGAGTAAATAAATTATAATCAGGAATAATGACAAACATTCCACCAGTACAGTGTATGTATTGTTGAAATTCTGTTTCTGAACCAGCATCATAAACACCAGCAGATAGAAAACCAAATCTGTAAAGGAGATAAGTGAAATGGAATAAATTTCCTACTTTCCAGTTCAGTAAATAGTTAATACAGACAGGCGATAACACGGTGTGGGCAATGACAGAAATATTGATAATAAATAAGACTCAATTCACCTAATAATTTTCACTTTCAACCAATGAGGAATATATAAAGAAACAAACACGTAGTAATAGTTTGTCATTGGAATGAATATGTGCTTTACTGACAAAGTTAATCGGATTAATAAATTACAAATGTCCTCTCTCAACTATTCCTTAAGCTTAGCAAGTAAGAACCCATATCACTGAAGTATTGCTGTAAACATATTTGTGACATATAAAAACACAAACTTAGTTTTTGAAGAATTCAAATTCGTACTGGCTGGGCGATATTGATTCAAGTTGATATCACAATATTAAGCATTAATATATCACAATATAGGTATATATCGCAATATTTTTTTAAGTTTGTTTTTTTCTGGTTTTTGAAACAAAATGATGATCTAGAAATTCTAAATGTAACAAAAAATTATAAAGATAGCTTGCGATGCAAGGTAACATACGCCCACTGGCAGCTGTCAGAAATAATAAAACAGTCTTTAGTAACTAAAGTACGAATTTTCTCATATTGAAGAAATTATTTATGCTGAATAATTCCACAAAATTTTTTAAAATCAATATCAATAATCCAACTACAACAAACAATTAAATCACACAGTTCTAATCAAGGACAAAAAACAACTTTTTTCGCGTGTTTACAAAGTCAAGGGCAATAACTTAAAAAATGTTCATCAAAAATATCTCTTGTTAGAACTTGTCCGAGATCTTATGAATTCCAATGATCACACCAAGTTTCATCAAAATCGGTTGAAAACTGTAGCTTCTATTGTGCTCACAAACAAATTTTGACGCGTATTTCGTAAGTTATTGGCAATAACTCGAAAACATTTCATCGAAAAAGGCGTCAAGTTAGAACTTGTCCGAGATCTTATCAATTTCAATGATCACACCAAGTTTCATCAGAATCGGTTGAAAACTGTAGCTTCTATTGTGCTCACAAACAAATTTTGACCAAGTCAAGGGCAATTACTCAAAAACCGTTCATCAAAAATGCATCAAGTTAGAACTTGTCCGAGATCTTATCAATTCGAATGATCACACCAAGTTTCATCAGAATCGGTTGAAAACTGTAGCGTCAATCCTGCTCGCGAACCATTTTTAACAAATTTAGACGCGTTTTTACAAAGTCAAGGGCAATAACTCAAAAAGCGTTCATCGAAAATGCGTCAAGTTAGAACTTGTCCGAGATCTTATCAATTCCAATGATCACACCATGTTTCATCAGAATCGGATGAAAACTGTAGCTTCAAACCTGCTCATGAACAATTTTTAACAAATTTCAAGGCGTTCTAAGTCAAGGGCAATATCTCAAAAACCGTTCATCGAAAATATGTCAAATTCGAACTTGACCGAGATCTAAAGCATCACACCAAGTTTTATCAAAATCAGATAAAAACTGTAGTCTCTATAGTGCTCGCAAGAAATGTTGTCGGACGGACGCACCGATGGACATGGGAGACGACAATATACAATCACATATTCATGTGGGCGTATAAAAATCTCTCAAAACACTCCAGATTTTAAGTTACTTGTTAAAATTGTGTAGATGATCTTGACAAAAATTTGATGATATATCATGATAATTACCATTACCGATATGGCATGGCAATATTTCAGTATTTTTGAATCAGACGATATTATTAACAATCTAAATTCTTTACCGGTATTTATAGTGATATCGGTATATCGCCCAGCCCTACTTTGGGAGGGAATGATAAAAAAATATTAAACAAACCTCTTAATGATCAATTGTTGAAATAGATTGAGTTTTTCTTGTTTTTCTTTCATAGGTAAACCTGAAATAAATCATTTGATATGAATAATACACTTGCTTTCTTACTGAATATAAAAAGAGATATGATAATATTTTGTACCGGTATTAAATATGGTGCATTCTAAAGATTACAACATAATAATGGTCTCCATAATGATCAAATTAAAGAAATTCTTTTTCCAGTTACATCTCTTTCAGATGGTAGAGATTGATAATAATATAATACAGTAATACTCATACCAAAAATCCCAGCAATGTTTGAGATTGTTTTCCTGTCCTATCTTCATAAAAGAATTTCCATCACTAGATAACATTTCTCGAGTGGCATTGTCTGCAAGTTTATTTGCAATTCATCTGTGAACTCTACAAATCACAAATAATTTTACAATATCAAATAGTGTTTGAATGTACTTTACCTGAAAATATTTCTTTACCATCTTCAGATAAACATTGTAATCTTAAAGGTACAAATATAGGACCTCGTAATGGATCAGAGTTGGGAGAATTTGGTAAGGCAAATGGATCAACAGGAACAGGAAGTAAATGAAAACCAGCTGAAACAGCTTTTCTTGTCCAACTGTACACCTGTAATAGAGTGAAGGGAAAGATGACAATACAATGACAACCTACAAAACCCTGTACAATGTATTAAGTAGTCGAAAAGAGCATCAATGCTGGGAGTCATGTTCATTGCCAAATTTGTTTCCAGTGAAATTGGAACTCATAACTTGAAGTTTACAAAGAAAAAAAATTGTCTGATTCACATGTCTTTATGATGTTTTTGTTAAAACCATTCTCTGTATGCTCAAATTCTACATGGTCTGATACAACTGAACTACAGTATATCAGAATGCTTATAAGTATTGAATATCAGTACTAACCAATTCTGCTAGAATACAACCTGTAGCTACCATCCATTGAACTTGTAATTCAAAAGCACTGTTAGGTTGATAGTAGGCATGATATCTGGCTGTAGCCCATTCTAATCTTTCACTTTTACGTGTTGGATCTACATCTACATTGACAAATTTATGATGTTTGGTAGCTAGAATGAGAAATTCAGTATAATTCACTTGAATAAGCCTAGCAAAGAGTAATCTCCCAGTCCAGAAATTTTTGCTCATAAGGAATTGATTAAGACTCCGATGAAAAAGTGGTCAATTGCTACATCAATATACAAAATGTATATAACTAGCTCTAAAGTCTCCACAGTAGGCAAACAGAATCTAAGAATTGCATTCAAAACATCGATGAAAATTAATATATTTGCATGCATTGGTCCACTGATAAGGGGGAAAATGATTTAAGATGATGACAATAATAAAACATAAAACTGTGAAGAAAGGTACAGTGTGTAATACAATAATACAATAAATTCTGTGTGCTAACTAAAACATTGAACCACCACCTTAATTCAGCTAAAAATCAAAATATCAGATAAACCTAGATAATAAATTCATTAGTTAGTTTGAAGCAAAATGAAAAGATAATAAAAAGAAAGATGTATTTTTATACGCGCACATCTCTCTATGTGGACGTATATTGTCGGCTAGATTTTTTGATGGAATCAAAAGAAATTCGGTATGTGTATATATATTCATAAAAGAAAGATCAAGTTCGAATTTGAGCTATTTTCGACCGTTAGAAGCAGAGTTATTGCCCTTGCTCCAAAATCTTGAATATGCTATTACACTCTTAGTTTTCAACCGATTTTGATGAAACTTAAAATGGATGTTATTGGACCTAAATCGAAAGGTTTGAGAAAGTTTAGTTTACTTCTGATTAAATTTAAGGCTTTTTCAAGATTTAGGCCTCTTACGTCAGTTTTGAGGAGTTATCGCCCTTTAACCTCTATACAGTAAGTGCTTCTATCAACATCATATTCATCAAACAAAGGTCCGTCGGTCTGTTGGTCCGCCCGTCAACATTTGCTTGTAAATGCTCTAAAAACTAGATTTTTTTGATGGAATCAAATGAAATTCGGTATGTGTATACATATTTATAAAACAAAGATCAAGTTCAAGAGCTATTTTCGACCGTTAGAGATTACTAGCTACTCTAAATTTTTACTATATGATTATACTTCAGTCTGAGATATCAGAACAATGTTTGCCTTTTAAATGATCCCAATATTGAGCATCGATTGATGAATTTGTATAGCATGTTGTTTGATCTTAAATGAGTAAAGTAACTCAGAGGAAATAATCAATGAAATTTTTCTAAAAATATTGGAATTAATAAGCTAAAAGTTGATGTGTCTATTAGGTATCTGCAAATCTGTAAGAAAAGTATTAGTAGCTGAATTCTGATCTATAATAGTTATTATAAGCTTTTTAAACTATGTTTGAACCCTTACCATCAAGCAATCTAGTCTTAAACACTGCAAAACAAGAATTACTTACCCTAACCCATGCATATTACCTACATGTATACCCATATTCTGCTTGTGTTCATGACTACAATCTTGTGTATTGTTTCTTACAAAATCTTTATTGATGTACATGTTATCAAATAGCTAGATAGGGTCTTGAGACAAATTGTTCACATAAAAATTTTTTATCAAAAAGAAGAAATCCCTAGAGATAAAATTATAGAATTAGTAAATATGAGAGAGAAGTCTGGATTATTCAAGATGTTATAGAACGATAAGCTAGATTCTGCTATGAATACAGAATCAGAAGAACCGATAGATATTATAAATATGTCTAAGATATGTACACCATACAGTATTAAACATCTAGAATTTACAAACAGAGTGATTGGTGAGTGCTAAAACTAAAACTAAAAAATAATAATAATAATAAGTTTGTCTGAAAATAAGAAGAAAAGAAAAAAAAGGATATTGGTGTAGGATAAAGCTGATACCTTACAACACCATCTTACCTTTCACTTCACATAGGTTCACCTTTCCTACAATATAATCCATACAATAGGGTCAAGAAATTGGGGCATGCACCAGGGGGGGGGGGGGGGGAAATATAATTGGGTAACAAAAAATAATCCCATAAAACAAAAACATTTTCTTTTTTTAACATCAAACAGAATTTAACATCCTTTTTAAGGGATATTATAATTTCCAAAGTTTGACGAAATATCTCGACAGGAACTCATTCATATGTAAAAGAGATTAGAAATAGACATAGATAGACACACCATAACATGTAGACCAATGAGATAGTAAATTCAGACATATTCTTCATTTATAGATAGATAACAAGGTGATCATTCAATATTGGATGATGACTTTATTTAGCTTAGCCAAAGATTGATGATGGTTAATAAATATTAGGTAAATGTATTTTTCAGCAATCAGTATATATGTAAGTATAGAATGAATCACAATTACGATTACGCAATACTTATCCTGAATTGTATTGTACACAATGTTCCAACAATTAACATTGATCCTTCAGGATTACAAATGTTAGTTACAATTTAATTAATTTAATTTAATTAACAATTTTAGCTAGCTATGTTAAGGTATCATTTTTTAGTATACAAATGTTTTCAAATATTTTTTTTTTTTAATTTGCATCTTGTTTTTTTCATCCTATTTTTAAGAAAAGAAAAGACTAGAAAAAAAAAAATATATATAAATTATATATATATGAGTATAAATTTGCATCAAGAATGGAAATGGACAGAACAGGATGTTTGGGTTATTTAAACCAGCTCAATTGGAAAAGTCAATGAAATGGAAAAAAATAAGCAAACTGCAGATATTAATGCAAATTTTTAGATTAAGAGACTGAAATTTTTATTTCAAAATCTTCAGATTCAAAATCTTGTCTAACCAATTAAAATACATGGAGAGCCACATAATTCTTTTTTTTATTTTTAAATTTGCACATTAAGAGTTAAAAAAAAATGTCAGTACAAAACCCAAAACCCAAACACTTGTACATTAAGTGTAAGAGTTCAGAATAAAATGGTAAGAAGTATACTATTCAGCGATAAAAATAATGTTATAATGTTATATATATACCTGTATGTTGTCCTCTTTCTTGACAATTTAAACCAGATAATACTCTCCAATCTTCAACTTCCTCATCCCGCTCTTCTTCACGAAGGTAAAATGTCTTCATTTCCTGTTTATCATTGTCGTCTGGTTCAAATTTAACAGCAACCTCACAGAACTCATTTTGAAAAAACATATTGTAAGGCTGACCACCGTACAAATTGATATCTGTAACAAATAATTTTCACTAATATATAATGCTAAACTAAATCTGTAAGAGAATTGTATTTGTTTAATTATGGGGCTGATTAAATTTATACCATTCATTATAACTGAGAAGAAATAATGTGTAGGGCTTTCTTTACTTAATTGTACATCACTGAGTATATGAAGGACAGAAACTTTTAAATGATAACATACCTTGAGTTTTCTGTTTAGAAGTAGGGGTTACTATCATATATAAGTAAAATCCATAGATAAATTTATGTTTAGGATTTCCTGATGCATGTATGATTAACTGATCATCTATTAATTTCTGAAATAAATCAAATAATATCACGAGGAACTTTTTACGTGTGTGATATAATATATTTTGTTATTGTTTGCTGAAATAGATGGAAATTGTTCACAAGAAACGCATCAGAAGGTGAAATATTAACATGAGCACCATTTGATACATGATACATATTTGTATTGTACACACAATCCAGATCAAACAGACCTGATAAATTTTTCACATTTTTTTTGAAACATGTATATTTAACAGGTTGGAGCCAGAAAAACTTGGCAAAGGAAACTGACTTAATCACCTGCATCAATTTTGTTGCTTGTTTGACAGTTTTAAGGTCTGGTATGTTTGATAAACACCATTGAGTTGCTTCCCCTGATATAAAACATTTCTCTTGAATACCAGGCTGTTTAGGTAGAAATATTAATCCAGTACTGTAAAAAGTAACATATTTATGTACATATATTTAAATTCAAAACAAGATGAACTTAGATTTGCACAGCAGGCCTACATAGAATGAGTTTAAAACCTTACTAATTATAACTAATTGTTAAATATGTATTTTTCACAGCCATTCCGTCTATACACAATTGGCTGCAAGATTAACATAGCTTACAATAGTCTAATAATAATAACATAGCTTACAATAGTCTAATAATAATAACATAGCTTACAATAGTCTAATAATAATAACATAGCTTACAATAGTCTAATAATAATAACATAGCTTACAATAGTCTAATAATAATAACATAGCTTACTTATTATCAAGCATAGCTTCTACTATTTTACTTGAACTCCAATGACTTGTAATATCTTCTTTTACATTGATTCTAAAAAACAATACAGCAATAAAATATTATTAACAATCAAGCACAATGTAAAATTTATATGAGATAAATAGCAAAAACTGAAATACATACTTATCTGTTTGGTTTTCAGGTTTATTGGGACTAGAATCTGGTGTTTTATTTAAACTCTCAGTTGGTGGTGCTACCTACAAGATACCAGAAGAATAATCACCATGTATATTCAAAATCTCATGAAAAAGTCATGTTAAAAAAGCTAAGTGTCCAAAATGTGACTCAAAGGGACAGACGTCATTTTGGGGGGTTGATTTGAGTCTTGAATATATGAAAATTGACTCATAAATACTAGAAATGCACCAAAAAAAACCGGAAAATTCTTTCAAATATATCTCTTTCTAGGAATTTCTTTTACTTTTTCAGTAGATTTCCTCTATATATGGCAGTGTCTCAAGAAAAAACGACTCATCTTTTTAATTTTCAAACGTGGATAATTCTGGAAACACATGGATTTGAAGGCTCAAATTTAGACGGTGAGCTGTGAACACTATTACTGATTGGCTCAGCTAAAAAATTCCCATTTCTCAGACTAATATTTGATTGGTTAAAAAAAATGGTGCAGATCTGTCCCTTTAAACAAAATCTTAAGTCTATTTGACGAACAAGACTATGGTTTATCATTAATAGTCCAGTAAAGATAATTTGGCACATCAGGGTACAATTCAAAACATAGTTTGTGTAGAATAAATAAGGTTATAAAACTTTAAATCCAACTTTTATCATGGCTATTACTACTTAAATTACCAGAGACTTTGAATCAGTAAGTACATAAATAGCTTTACTCAACAATACCATCCATAATGGACCTATATAACATTCATACTCATAACATCTTTTGTATTTCAGTATTTCATATTTATATATAAACAGTAAAACTTAAACTTATAGAAATTAAAAAAATATACTTACTCTTGATTTACGTGTCTGAGGGGCATGTTTGATTTTATTTGCTATTTCCAGGAATCGTAAGAAACCAGTCACTAGTTGTTTTAATTCACTGAAAGCTTTCTCTTCATAAATATCACATCTAAAATACAAACAGATATTAAATCTATCAATTTCAGCTTGGAGATTTATTAATTTATCAAGTTAGATCAATATTGAGGTTTCTATTTACACAAACTGAAGATATGTGCTCAACAACGATCACTTTAACTAAAAATCATACCTGAAGTTTAAATAAGAATATAACCTGTATAATTCAGGCTTACAATTAACTTCTAAAATCAATAACTTCAACATACCTAAGACTTCCATCAATAATTTTCTTAGTGGCTGGATTATTACATGGTAATAAAAATAACCGACTTCTCCAAAACTTTAATGACTGAAAATATAAAATAAATCATTAAATAAGCGATTTGAATAATAAGATCACAAATAATGCCAAAGCAGAACTCTTGGTGTTACAAGTTAACAAGATGCTGTGTCAGCAATAGTCAGAACTAAGAACTTACTTACCTCCATTAAATCATAATCCCCTTCACCTCGTGTACAGATATACTGATCTAAATAATTCCAATTATAATTCTCTAATTTCTCATTACTAAACTCAGTCCAAGATATATCATAACGATAGGAATCAGGACACTGAAATCGGTATCTGTAGACATAATGGTGCTGTGGCTGGGAATGTCTGAAACAATAACCAATGAAAACATTACTTAAAATGGACAACGTCCCTCTAAGGGACTATGGTTCGCTTTATCCAAAAAGTTTCATATTAGGCAGTGAATTCTAACAATCAAAATGACGCAGGAGAGGTTGCCCCTCCCCCTATAATATTCTTGAGTTTCTTGCTTGTATTCATATTTACAAATTACAGAAACCTGTTGATTGACCAGTGTGAAAATCACCTGACATGATGAATGTTTACCTACTAAAGTGAAATGAGGTAGAAATAAAAAGTTATATCAGATGAGTGAAGGAGACCATGGGATAATGGTGCTGTGGCTGAAAATGTTTTGCAGACTAATAATACCAGTAAACCAATGAAATTCTAACTTACCGAGGTCTAAATCTAGTAACAGTAATAGTAGGACCACACAATGCTAGTTTATGGAAGATTCTTCCAATACTTAGATTATATTCTTCCTGCAATAACAATATTCACTCATTCATAAGACTTATATACTTAACTTGATTACTATACCTAGATATAGTGAAAGTAAATAACTTGGATTTAGAATTAGGTTTTACAGAACCTTCTGTAACTTAATTCAGAATAACCTCCTTTTACAAAATAACTTAAAGAAACACAAAGGTAATAGAAATGAAAATAACCTGATGTTCATGTCTAGGTCTAGCTCGTATTAAACTAGATGTATGTTGATATTGTGGACTAGTACCAAATCCTGGTTCTTTAGATGATATAACCTTTGGACCATTAGATATAATCAGCTGAAACCCCTGTAATGGAAATATAAAAAAACTGACATGGTTACAAATGAACAGAAAAATAGATAGCATTATGTGAGCTCTGCTAACCCAAATTGATTAAAATTCAGTAAAAATATGTTTTGTCACACTTGTCATACAGACATAAGCGTAATTATAAACAATATACAACAGGTCTTTCTTAAAGCAATAATTTAAAAAAAAAATACAATTCATTGAAATAGATTTTTACATTCTGCTTTTTGCTTCTGACTTGACGAATGAAGACATGCAACTTTCAATGAGTACAACTGTTCACAGATATAGTCATATCAATGACTGGCCCTTTTTCATGTATTTTCTAAACAGACAAACCTCAGCCAGTCTTTGGTTGACTAATTCTTTAAATACTTGAACAGTTGTTATTGGTTCTTGTCTATAGAATTTCTCATCTTCTGTACTGGCAGGTCTAAAAACAAATCATTGCCAATAAATTTTAAATATTGGACGGCCAGCCTATCATATCTTTAAAAGTAGGAAATGTTTAGAGTTGAAAATAATGTTTGCTAATTTGAAGCAATATAAGCAGATAATTGTCATTTTGTTTACTAATGGAGATGTATAAATCAAGGTATGTTTACCAATAATCACTATTAATATCACCAAGAAATGGTTAATATAATAACTGATAGGTTGATATAAAGATAGGGTAAATCGAAGTTGTTAACTAACTTAATCCAATAATCACTGTTAATATCACCAAATAATAGTTAATATAATAACTGATGGAGTGATATAAAAATAGGGTAAATTTATGTGGTAAACTACCCTGGTGCAATAGTCACTGTTAATATCACCAAGTAATAGTTATTATAATAACTGATGAAGTGATATAAAGATAAAGCAAATTTATGTGGTTAACTACCTTGGTGCAATTATCACTGTTAATATCACCAAGTAATAGTTATTATAATAACTGATGAAGTGATATAAAGATAGGGTAAATCTAAGTTGTTAACTAACTTAAGCCAATAATCACTATTAATATCACCAAGTAATAGTTATCATATTAACTGATGAAGTGATATAAAGATAGGGTAAATCTAAGTTGTTAACTATCTTGATTCAATAATCACTGATAATATCACCAAGTAATAGTTAATATAATAACTGATGGTGTGATATAAAGATAGGGTAAATCTAAGTTGTTAACTAACTTAATCCAATAATCTATATCAATATCACCAAGTAATAGTTAATATAATAACTGATGGTGTGATATAAAGATAGATAAATTTATGTGGTTAAATTTATGTGGTTAACTAACTTGATACTTGATCCAATAATCACTGATAATATCACCAAGTAATAGTTAATATATTAACTGATGGTGTGATATAAAGATAGGGTAAATCTAAATTGTTAACTAACTTAATCCAATAATCACTGTTAATATCACCAAGTAATAGTTAATATAATAACTGATGGTGTGATATGAAGATAGATAAATTTATGTGGTTAACTAACTTGATACTTGATCCAATAATCACTGATAATATCACCAAGTAATAGTTAATATATTAACTGATGGAGTGGTATAAAGATAGGGTAAGTTTATGTGGTTAACTAACTTGATTCAAAAATCACACTTAATATCACCACATAATAGTTATTATATTAACTGATGGAGTGATATAAAGATATGGTAAGTTTATGTGGTTAACTAACTTGGTGCAATAATCATTGTTAATATCACCAAGTAATACTTGTTATATCAACTGATTGAGTGATATAAAGATAGGGTAAGTTTATGTGGTTAACTAACTTGGTGCAATAATCATTGTTAATATCACCAAGTAATACTTGTTATATCAACTGATTGAGTGATATAAAGATAGGGTAAGTTTATGTGGTTAACTAACTTGGTGCAATAATCATTGTTAATATCACCAAGTAATACTTGTTATATCAACTGATTGAGTGATATAAAGATAGGGTAAGTTTATGTGGTTAACTAACTTGGTGCAATAATCATTGTTAATATCACCAAGTAATACTTGTTATATCAACTGATTGAGTGATATAAAGATAGGGTAAGTTTATGTGGTTAACTAACTTGGTGCAATAATCATTGTTAATATCACCAAGTAATACTTGTTATATCAACTGATGGAGTGATATAAAGATAGGGTAAGTTTATGTGGTTAACTAACTTGATCCAATAATCACTGTTTATATCATCAGGTAATAGATTATAATCGGAAACAACATAATCATTATGTAAACTATGACTATCAGGAAAGAAATCAGTTGTTATTGGTAGAGATGCTGGTGTTGTTAATGATTTCCAATCCACACCTGAAAAATAGGATAGGATTTTGTCATTAATCTACAGTAACAATTTTCTATTTCAGTTATAGGACTTTGATATCAATAAAACTTTTTGTATAAGGAGTTGATGTTTCTGGAAGCAAGTCAGTGACATTTGAGTTACATTATGTAGTGGTTTACATTTGTTCATTTATATGGACATTATAAATAAAACATTTATAGAAGAAAAAAAACCAAGTCATTCCTAAATCTCAACTATTAAAAGCAATCAAAAGCAATTAAAATACAAAGTTAATCAAATCATGCACAAAGTCCTGGATTTTCAGCGAAACATAATAAAGAATAAAACAAATTTTTGCAAATGAATAATATATACAATATACATATCCGCTACATATGATCTTTATTATAAATATATAATGTAAGAAAATATGATGTTAATTTATTAGATATACCAAACCAAGCCATGATAGACATTTTAGTAGATTAGTAACACAGCTATACTTTTCACCAAGCACTTTTACTGAAGTAGATGCCAAGATACTAAGAAAACAAAAGAATACTAGTACAATGGATGAGCTTTTTGAAAAGAAATCCAACTTTAAAAAGTGTCTGGGCTTAATGGTTGTGATCATAAACAATTTCTGTACATATAATTTAAATAATTCATCCAAAATTGAGTGTTAGAAACACTAACTGTTCTGATCAATATGGCCAGTGTATCAATCTTAATCTGTGTCATGCAAGTTAGTAATTAGAGATACAGATCTGTTTTAAACGTCTTGTCATCACTAAATAGATAGTAAATCAAGATATATCAATTTTCAAAGAAGGAACATGTTGTCAACACTGACACTGAAATGGTTAAACTATCTCTCAATATTACACCGGCTTACTCAATAGGATTTGAAAAATAATAAAGCAATAGGTCAAATGAAATGAAATGAAGTTTAAAGTCCTTAATGAAAACGAACATCACAACTTAGTGATTTTAGCAAAAGCACAGGTTTTGACACATTTTTTTAATTTCTAATTAACTACACATGAAAGTATACAGCCTGTATCACACAAGCTCCCAGTTTATTGTTCCACAAAGTGACAAAATGTCCAAACCTCACGTTACTGAGCAAATCAAGATAAGTTCAAACTTTACTGAATCTCCCAAGATAGCTTAGTGGTTCAACCATCACAAACATGCACATGCCAAAAAAAGCAAAATCTATGAAAGCAAAGAAATATCTATGAAACCATGCACAAAATTCTAAGCTGACTATCTATAAGTTTAATTTTATTTTTTCACATTAGTTTGGATGTTTCCAGATTTCAAAAGGTGTAAATATAAGTTCTGCTTTACATGAAAAAAAATATAAATGCCATCAAACAATCAAAATATTTCAGGTTACATAGAATTATAAATTTAATGAGATTTCAAAGTGAGCTTGCAATGACCTTTAATTAAATACATAATGAAGTTAAGAATAAAGACTAGCACATCAGCTTAGAAGAAAATTAAAATACAAACTATACAGAGAAATTAGAGTAAGTAAGCATATTAAACAACACCAAATAGTCAGCTTACTGATTCCTGTACAAAAATTCTTATATTCAAAATCAGCTGTTAAAATTGGTTTCATTAATTGTGATACAGCATTTCGTTCTTCTTGTTTATCTAATGGTCTCCAATCCCAGCCTAAAATTCAGTTTTCACATATTATGTGCAACACTGTACTTGAGCAATTTGATGCACTTGGAAGTATGTGTGAACAAATAATTTTTTGAGATAAACCATGACTTGAATTCGAAACAACTTTCAGTTTTGCAACAAAATTCTTTTCCATATAGAAGATTGATAGCTGGGATGCAATAGTAATGATTTAGAGATAGGCTTCATTATTTTAGAAAACTTCAAACTCTCGTAGAATAGCAAATATTCACACCATTTTCACATTTCACTTCACACCATTAGTAGATACAATTAAACAACTTATTACCTGTAGTCATAAATGGATGCCATTCTTGATCTCCTGCTGTTCTAGCATCTAAATATAATCTATCACGTACAGCCTTACCACTTTTCATACGAACTATAAATAGTACATAGAAATTACATAAATAGTACATAGAAATTACATATCTTCTTACATGCATTCTATATATAATCAAAATAAATACATAGTTCTGAAGTAAAGAAATTTGTTTTTCATTTTAATACTGATTGTCTAGCTGAGCAATGTATGATAAAACAGTTTCATAAACTTTTCACAGCTGCTGATGAAAATTAGTATGTACCATTTTGTTCTAAAAAAATCCAGAAAGGAAAAAGAAATACCTTGTTCATGATTGGTATACGATGAACTAACTTCTGAATTGTTATAATGACTATGGTTAGGTGATAAATTCACCCCTGCCATACTTGTTTCTGAACTATAAAGAAATTATAGACCAGATATGAGAAAACAGATTTATTGGTCTTTGGTACTACATGTGTATTTTGGATCTAGCAATACAGTATACAAACATATGAACAAACTTCAAAATTATCTGTAGAGGTATATAGACAAATCAGATGATATAATGAAGTTTTACGCCCTACTTTTCTGTATGAAATGATGAGTTATGGGTTCATCAGCTTGTAACTGTTGAAGAGGTCATGGGCTGTATAAACTAATACAAGTTGAGCTCTAAAATATCAGTTGTTTCCATAATATTACCAACTGGTTCAATTAACTTGTTACTTATGTTACCTGTTGTGTCCACTAATCACATCATGATCAATACTGCCTTGTCTTGATATAGACCTCTGTCTTCTTGCTTCAACAAATCTTTGAGCTCCCTAAAAATATATAATCAACTAATTCCATTAAAAAATTGCAGGATCACAATTGCAAGCTGGCTTATAAGTAAGAGTTGGTTATATGTGTTATAGATGATAAACAAGTCTACATTAATATCAAAACAATAAGATGTTTTATTATAGCCCTAAATTGTTGCCAATTTTCTTACTACACCAGAAGTAATCATGGCCCTAATATTGGTGCACATACGTAAAAGTAAAAGAAAAGATAGATTGCCAGTCAAGGTAATATACGCCCACTGGCAGCTTTGATTTTGAATAAAAATATTTAGCAATACAGTAACAATCACCAGTATGAAATATCCAACCTTCTGTCATTCACTTCTTTTGAACTCTTTAGGGCGATACTGAATAATATTGAGTATGAGTTATTGCCCTTGTTCTTGAAAACGTGTTCAATTTTTAGCTCGTGAAAACTCTAGAAGGCAAATATTCAATCTTCAGCGCAGGAATGAATAATAAAACCAAGATTTGTCAAAATCCAGCAAGAATCATGCTTTTTAGTGTTTAATAGCTAAAAATTGAATGCGTTTAAAGAGCAAGGGGAATAACTCATACTACATTTTTTTCCATTTTTCTGATTTTCAAAGAGTTTATCCTTGGTTGATAACAAACACTCATGCCAAGTTTGGTCAAAATCCTTCAAGAATTGTGCCTTCTAGAGTGTTTACGAGCTAAAAATTGAACGCGTTTTCAAAAACAAGGGCAATAACTCATACTAAATAGTTTTAGATTCTTCTGATTTTTACTAGGGTTCATTCTTGGGTGAAAACAAACACTCATGCCAAATATCGTTAAAATCTGTCTAGAATTGTCCCTTCTAGAGTGTTTACGAGCAAAAATTTTGAATGCATTTTCAAGAACAAGGGCAATAACTTATACTAAATATTTTTAGATTTTTCTGATTTTCACTAGGGTTCATCCTTGGGTGATTAATAACACTCATACCAAGTTTTGTCAAAATCCGTCAAGAATTGTGTCTTGTAGAGTGTTTAGGAGCAATTGTGGACGGACCGACGGACATGGGTGACGGCAATATACGCCCCCCCCCCCTTTCATGTGGGCATATAAAAATTGATGTCATCTAGCATTGCATACTCTTATAATTCTATGGTATAACTTACTTGCAAAACTTCTTTAGTAGGTGTGGTTGAAGCATTCTCCCCTTCATCTTGGTAACCAAAATGTCCTTTCATCATGCTGGGTTTTACTGTTGATACTTTAGAATCTAAGAACATAATGACTGATTAATGGAAAACCCTATCCATGCTCATGCACCAACATAGCATTGGCAATCATCTTGCAGTGTATTCAAACAAGGGCATTCCTATAGTTTTATTATAAAACAAAATAAAATCGATTTTATCATCTTACCTTTCGGAAATGCATGGACCCATCTCCTCATATTAGCTGTCATTTTAAATTGCATTCTAGATGGAGCAAATGGGTTGATTAAAGCTCTGCGTGGACGATAATTATCAAAATATTTTCGACTATGACCTACAGGTGAACCAGCACTACCAACTACAGCTCTCCTAGCTATATTCATATAGTATTCTTCACTATCCGATGACTCAACAGAACCTCTACTCGCACCACGCTCTGAAATATTAAAATATGTTAATATTTGTTTGTATGTTTCATCTTACCTGTATTTGAAGCTCTATTTTACATGAAAAAATTGGAAACAGTCAACAGATGCTATTATATCTTACCTATATTTGGATATTTGGACAACTAACAGATGAAGCTGTTTTTACTTATAATTGGATAACAGCCAGCAGATGAAGCTCTATCTTACCTATAATTGGATAACAACCAACAGATGAAGCTATATCATCTCCAAATGAACCCACAGGGATACTGATAGCAGCTGAAGATGTTTTAATTGGTTTAGGATGCTTGTCTATTAAATACAGACCCTCAAAATCATCTGATCTATATCTGGTACGAACTGAAGCTGCCCGCCGACTTTGACGGATCTCAGCTAATGTTTTTCCTTTAATCTTCTGTCTATTTCCATGGTAGAAACTATTACTTTTACCCTGTCTGTGAAGAGATTGGTTTTAAAGTAATCTTGAAATCGAGACAGACATTCAACAATACCAAAATTCTTTATTAATTCAAAATGAAAAGGATCAGTGAATGGTGTTGATAATCAAAGCAAAGAAACAAAACAAAACACAAGCAAGGCATAAACACAGGCAAATCTAATAAACAACAAGCAAAAAGCTATAAGCATGAGGGTACAAAAGAGGATGGCCAGTAGTAAAGTTAAGTTGCTTCTTATATATAACTTCCTGATTCCAGGGTGCCATTTTGTTATTTACTGGTCTTGACACAAGTAATTTTGGGATCAGTCTATGAAATAACAAGTCATGGTCATATTGAGATAACAAGTTGTGTTTTATTGAGATAACAAGATGTGATCATTATGAGATAACAAGTTGTGATCATATTTATATTACTAGTTGCAAAAATATTGCCATATCATAGCCATAATGAAATAACAAGTCATAATTAAGGTATTCTGCTTTTTGTAAAAGGTTTTCATTATCAAAAAAGTCATAAGTAGGTTATTTATATCTATGTATCTGAATTTGTTTCAAAAGGTTTAATTAAAAATGGAGTAATAATTGTTAATTAAGCAGCTTGACCTAGTTTTGGTGTTTGGGCTTATAATGGCTCGATATTATTTGAGACCTTAAGAAACATAGGAGACATTTTTCTCTACAATTAAGCATTTATTTTTCTCAAATTTGCACAACAGTTTTCTAACAGCTTTCATAACAAACTGAAAAACATTACGTAATTTTTTTTAATATTTTTGATGTCTAAAAAATTAATGGTTGGATTCTTTTAGTTAAAACTTTCAGATACGTTTAAGGGAACATTTCTCTAGATTTTGGTGTATAGTTTTCACAAATTTGAGCAACCAAAATTTTTTGACCTACAAAAAAAGCATAATGTCCCTTTAAGTTACAAGCATACTTCAATAAATCACAGAAATGAGATTGGGAAGATTTGCAATAACACAACCTAACTAGCACCTAAAATGATGAGCTATGAGTAATAAAAGAAAAATAAGCGACAAGCTAAGCAATATCTATTAGCAAATGCAGGATAAATCGAACAAAAATGTTGAAAGAGCTACGAAGAAGTTCTGAGAAATATGGCTAATCCTTGAAATCTTTAAATCACTAAATATTGTATTGATTTTCTTATTGACTCGAAAGTTATAGGAATTTATAGCAATTGTCTCAGAAAAGTTTCAATTTCATTGAAATATTCCAACAACTTTTTATTCAATATACCATCAAAGAGTAGTAATTCATTGAAATATACCATCAAAGAGTAGTAATTCATTGAAATATACCATCAAAGAGTAGTAATTCATTGAAATATACCATCAAAGAGTAGTAATTCATTGAAATATACCATCAAAAAGTAGTAATTCATTGAAATATACCATCAAAGAGTAGTAATTCATTGAAATATACCATCAAAAAGTAGTAATTCATTGAAATATACCATCAAAGAGTAGTAATTCATTGAAATATACCATCAAAGAGTAGTAATTCATTGAAATATACCATCAAAGAGTAGTAATTCATTGAAATATACCATCAAAAAGTAGTAATTCATTGAAATATACCATCAAAGAGTAGTAATTCATTGAAATATACCATCAAAGAGTAGTAATTCATTGAAATATACCATCAAAGAGTAGTAATTCATTGAAATATACCATCAAAGAGAAGTAATTCATTGAAATATACCATCAAAGAGTAGTAATTCATTGAAATATACCATCAAAGAGTAGTAATTCATTGAAATATACCATCAAAGATTAATAATTCATTAAAATATTCCAGCAAACATTTCTAGTTAATTGAAATAGTCCAGAAAATATTTCTAAATAGTCCAGCAAAGTTTTCTAGTTCATTGAATTAGTCCAGCAAAGATTTCTAGTTCATTAAAATAGTCCAACATATATTTCTAGTTCATCAAAATAGTCTTTTTCAATTCATTATAATTATCTGATAAAATATTTTTAATTCATTGCTTTATTCAACTGTAGAATCTCTGGCCCTACCAATCTGTCCCATGATAACAGATCACATGACAAAAATAGTATGAAATAGATGTTAACACTATGGGAGGTTGATAGCATGTTAAAAATAAAACTTACAATTCCTCTACAATATCATGTCTGTTAGAAACAATGAGTAAAATAATAAAATGAAAAAAAAAAAGATAAAATAAAAATTGAAAAGCAATTAATGCTATGCAACATACAATTTCATGAAAGCTCTGGTTGATGTAAATACTGATAGAATGAAATATTTAAATTTAGCCACAATGAATACAAGATTATTAAGTCTTAAAATGCTGCCTCACTATCAGCAAAGAGTTGATTTTATCAAAACTGAAACCGTTAAAAGGGTGGTGAAATGTGGGGTTCCACAGAGGCTATATACTTCTCCCTTTCTATTTCTAAACATTAGTTGCACTGTGGCCAGTTTATTATTTATAACAGATCATACAAGCGGTTACCTAGCCACTTCCTTGATTAATTTTTGGTATATCATGGGCGGTCTCCAATCTGTGTCAAATCAGATAAAAAATCTCATATAATTCAGACTTAAACCTCTATTGCATTCGCAAGCTACATTTAATGTACTTGTGTATCTTTAAATGATGTAGATGAAATCTTTATTGTCTCTTTAGTATGAACAACTTTACTTAGTCGAGGGCAATAACTCAAAAATCATTTCATCATTATAAATGATAACACTCAATTTAATATAAATCGAAAGTCTCTAAAACTGTAGTTTTTACTAAGTCAAGGGCAATAACTAAAAAACTGTTCATCGAAAAATCATCGCATTCTAACTTTGACCAAGATCTCATTGTTGTACCGGTAGATGATCACACTGTATTTCATTGGTGGTTGCCTAGCAAGATATCCCTACTTTACTGATACATTTTCAGTATATCAAGGGCGCTCAGCAATCGGTATCAAATCAAACCGAATATCTAATATGTGGAAGATATTGTTGATTTAATCAAACACACATTATCATTATATCATCAATTATTATATAATGAAATTCTGACATAAACTGTCACCTCTATCGTGTTCACAAACCAACAAATTTTGATGCATTTTCACTAAGTCATTATAAATGATCACACCAAATTTCATTTAAACAGTAAAATAAATTTTTACATGTTTTTTCCTATGTCAAAAACAGTTCATCAAAAGATCGTCAAATTCAAATTTGTCCAAGATCTCATCAATATAAATGATTACACCAATTTTCATTAAAATCAGATAGTCTCTATTGAATTCACAACTACATTATAATGTGGGCGTATAAAAATACATTCTATACAAGCCTCTACCCCACTTTCAAGTTTTTTATCATTTTACATTGGGAAAGAATTGCCTGTGAGACCCCCTAGACAATTTTGTGGATTCTACTCATTTCTCATCAAATGGTTAATAGATATGCCACTGTTATTAATATAATGTCAGTAACCTAATAAATAATAACTCTAAAGAGAAAGAAGATAGCTTGCCAGGCAAGGTAACATACGCCCACTACCAGCTGTCAGAAATGATAACGTCTGTAGTGGTTTAAATATGTGAAACCAATCATCCGATTTACCATAAGATTTAAGATCTCATACCAAGTTTCATCAAGATCGAATAAAAAAATGTAGTCTCTATCAGGCCTACAAGCCAAATTAGACACATTGAATTAATTCAAGAGCAATAACTCCAAAACCGTTCAACCGATTGTTACCAAATTCAACTTGACTGAGATCTTGTCCATATATACATGCATCATATATACATGCATACCAAGTTTCATCGAGATCAGATAAAAAATTGCAGCCTTTATCGTGCATACAAGCCAAATTTAACGCGTTTTTACTAAGTCAAGGGCAATAACTCCGATTATTACCAATTTCAAATTTGACTGAGATCTCATCAATATATACATGCATACCAAGTTTCATCAAGATCAGATAAAAACTGTGGCGTCTATCGTGCATACAACAAATGTGGACCGCCAGACGGACGAACAAGGGTGACGGATGGACGGACGGACGGACCGACAGGCGGGAGGGCAATACACGTCTACATTCAATGTGGGCGTATAAAAATGCACGTGAATGTATTTTTAAATTTGTCCACATCTATACTACTTCATGCAAACTAAATGCAAAAAAGTGTTATTATTAAATATATCAACCTTCCCTAATAGCTGTTCTCTCAAATCTTAAATTTAAAATTCTTCCTACCAATTAATTTTGGCTGTACAAATCTTTTAGGCTCACAGGATATTTACAAAAAAAATGCAAATCATATGTTCTTAAGTAAGAATAGTCTTGTTTATAAGTTAGATATACATGTATAATATTAATTGTATAATGTGCTGTGCAGCTTCTTAATTTTTGAGAACTTGAGTTTGATGTTATCATAAATTCAACTTTTAGAAAATAAAACTTACAAGTTTCGTGGATTGTTTCTGGAGGAAAGTTTAAAAACTTGAGAATCATATTCATCATAATCCATGAATGGAAAATTTTCATCTTCATCCTCAAAATTAGATGGAGTTCTAAATACTGTATTGTAAAACAAAAATTGAAGTATGTCATACTTAACATAATGTAAGCTACACTTTTTGTGATTTTGTTAACTTTTTGACTTCATTTGTCTTCTAAATGTTGTCAAGGTTCTCTCTTTACACAAAAAAAAAGTATTTCAATAATTGTTGGACAAAGATTAATGCTGTACATTTTCTGAGGGTCCAATATGGAATTGCATTAGTAAGGTGTTTATATGGAGCTTCACAATTCAAAGAAGAAATTATCTTACCTCTTCCATTAGGGTTTTCATCGAGATGATCTAACTATAAAAAAAAATATACAAAAACACAGTTTAGTACAGAGCATGGATTCTCATTTAAAATGTTTAAATATTAATTTTAGAAAATATTTCTACAACTGCATGTCATAATATTGTAGAAATATCATCAAAATACACCTCATACTTACATACTCTTGTGGAGGTTTGATTCTAGGAATAAAAGAGAGGTTTTTCATATTCTCTATTTGATTTTCTGATATATAGAAACTGAAATAAAAAAAATAGTTTCACAGATGTAACAAAACACTGTAAAGATAGCTTGCCAGGCAAGGTAATATATGCCCACTGGCAGCTTTGATTTTGAATAAAAATATTAAGCAGTACAGTAACAATCACCAGTATGAAATATTCAACCTTTAGTTATACACTTCTACTGAATAACATTACTAAGTTTTATCAAAATCTGTCAATTTGGGCCTACTAGAGTGTTTACAGGCTAAAACTTGAACATGTTTTTAAGAACAAGGGCAATAACTGATAACTCATACTAAGAAGACTTACGCTTTTTCTGATTTTCAATAGGATTTTATGAGCCAATATCTGAAAGTATTTTCAGGAAAATGGGCAATAACTCATAGTAAATGTTTTTCAATTTTTTTGATTTTCAATAGGGTTCATCCTTGGTTGATAAAAAACACACCAAGTTTTGTCAAAATCTGTCAATAACTGTGCCTTCTGAAGGGTTTACAAGCTAAAAATTGAACACTTTTTAAAATCTGTCAATAATTGTGCCTCCTAATTGTGCCAATATACGTCCCCCCATTTCATGTGTGAAAAAAGGAAGGCTAACTACAACATATACATATAAGAAATTTCATCACTCCACAATTGTAAATAATCCAGCTTAATAGTTGTCAGATTAGTTGAAAGAAAACTTTCTTGATCAATCTCTGGTCTTCTGTCCTGTTAAATATTGATTTCTCTCTGTTGATGAGAGAATCTCATATTGCTCTATTCTGGGACTAATTGAAGTTTTGTTGTGATTCTGTTCCTTTCTACCACATGCTGATTACCAATTTATACATTTAAACAATACAACTGTTTTAGTGTACCTGTGGTTCATCCAATGTGGTATATTATAATCATCACCTATCTCTATAGACGTCTGTTCATCTTTACTGTGAAACTATAAATATAGTATTATCTCAATCTTATTCAAATTACATTGACAATATGGTGTATACAAATGTCATGTCATACAGGGAATCAATATATCTCACCTATTAAAACTCTTGACTAATTCAGTACAAGTCCATAAAACAATTCAAAGAAGAAAATTGACAAATAGTATAAAACTAACCTTAAACAATGGGGCAGCATGCAAAGGTTGTTCTCCCATACAGACTAAATCACTTCCAACACCTAGAACAAGTAATAGAATAAATAAATGTGTTGAATTTAAGGGCTCTAGATATGGTGCATCTAGAGTAGAATACTAGTAGGCCTAGGCAGCTAAACGTTGTCTCGTCACCCACAAAACATTGTTAGAAAAATGTCTTATTGGGAAAAAAATAAATCAAGAACCCTGAGTACACCTACATATACTAGGGCATACAGTCAAAATTGTACAACAAATGTCATTTTCTTTTCTCTTCACAAAAGAAATTTTTTCACATGTAGGTAGATACTTAACAGATGTGATTATTATCATTTTTCCATACTCTTGTGATATGAATTGTGCTAAAATTATTATACAAAACAAAAAGATAGCTTGCCAGGCAAGGTAATATACGCCCACTGGCAGCTTTGATTTTGAACATAAATATTTAGCAGTCATACACTTTTTTTTGAACTCTTTAGGGCGATACTAAATAATATTGAGTATGAGTTATTGCCCTTGAAAACGTGTTCAATCTTTAGCTCGTGAAAACTCTAGAAGACATATTCAATCTTCAGCGCGGTAATGAATAATAAAACCAAGTTTTGTCAAAATTCGGCAAGAATAATGCCTTCTAGAGTTTTTATGAGCTACAAATTGAACGAGTTTTCAAGATCATGGGCAATAACTCATACTAAATATTTTTTCGATTTTTTCGATTTTGAACAGGCTTTATCCTTGGGTGATAACAAACACTCAAACCAAATTTCATTAAAATCCGTCAGGAATTGTGCCTTTTAGAGTGTTTACAAGCTTAAAGTTGAACGCGTTTTCAAGAATAAGGGCAATAACTCATACTCAATATTTTCAGGTTCTTCTGATTTTCAATACGGTTTATCTATGGGTGATAACAAACACTCAAGCCAAATTTCGTTAAAATCTGTCAAGAATTGTCCCTTCTAGAGTGTTTACAAGCTAAAATTTGAACGAGTTTTCAAGAACAAGGGCAATAACTCATACTAAATATTTTTCAGTTTTTCAGTTTTTCAATACGGTTTATCCATGGGTGATAACCAACACTCATGCCAAGTTTCATCAAAATCCGTCATGAATTGTGCCTTCTAGAGTGTTTACAAACTAAAAATTGAACGCGTTTTCAAGAACAAGGGCGGTAACTAATACTAAATATTTTTCAATTTTTCTGATTTTCGATAGGGTTTATCCTTGGGTGATTACGAACACTCATACCAAGTTTCGTCAAAATCCATCAAGAATTGTGCCTTCTAGAGTGTTTATAAGCTAAAATTGAACGCGTTTTCAAGAACAAGGGCAATAACTCATACTAAATATTTTTCAATGTTTCTGATTTTCGATATGGTTCATTCTTGGGCGATTACGAACACTCATACCAAGTTTCATCAAAATACGTCGTGAATTGCACCTTCTAGAGTGTTTACGAGCGTTTCAAGAACAAGGGCAATAACTCATAGTAAATATTTTTCGATTCGTCTGATTTTCAATAGGGTTAATTCTTGGGTGATTACAAACAACCATACCAAGTTTCGTCGAAATCAGTGAAGAATTGTGCCTTGTAGAGTGTTTACGAGCAATTGTGGGCGGACCGACGGAAAGAGGTGACGGCAAAATATGCCCCCCATTTCATGTGGGCGTATAAAAATCATTCCTGTTCACTTGAAGTATTAATCTATTCAAGAATTTCAGTGCAAAGTAAAATTGCTACTACTTACCACAGTCTATTGTACGTTGTTTGGTAATATTTGTTAATTCTCTGTCAACCTCAAACACACCTGGTCCTGGTGTTATAACTACTGATACTTTACCAGTACGATCAAAATTACGATCAATATAATAGTTTTCAAACACTGTAATCAAGATTACAATCAATATAATAGTTTTCAAACACTGTAATCAAGAATAAAATCAATATAATAGTTTTCAAACACTGTAATCAAGATTACAATCAATATCAAGATTACAATCAATATAATAGTTTTCAAACACTGTAATCAAAATTACGATCCATATAATAACTTTCAAACATCAGTATACTGATACTATCAGTATCATAAAACTCAAAAACTGTGATCAAAATAACTATAAATATAATAACTCTTAAACACTGTTATCAAAATTACTATCAATATAATAGTTCTCAAACACTGTTATCAAAATAACTATAAATATAATAACTCTTAAACACTGTTATCAAAATTACTATCAATATAATAGTTCTCAAAAACTGTAATCAAAATTACTGTAAATATAATAACTATCTAACACTGTTATCAAGATAGCTTGCCAGGCAAGGTTATATACGCCCACTGGCAGCTTTGATTTTGAACATAAATATTTAGCAGTACAGTAACAATCACCAGTATGAAATATTCAACCTTCAGTCATACACTTCTTTTGAACTCTTTAGGGCGATACTGAATAATATTGAGTATGAGTTATCGCCCTTGAAAACGTGTTCAATCTTTAGCTCGTGAAAACTCTAGAAGGCAAATATTCAATCTTCAGCGCGGTAATGAGTAATAAAACCAAGTTTTGTCAAATGTCGGCAAGAATCATGCCTTCTGGAGTTTTTATGAGCTACAAATTGAACGAGTTTTCAAGATCAAGGACAATAACTCATACTAAATATTTTTTCTCATTTTCTCATTTTCAATAGGCTTTATCTATGGGTGATAATAAACACTCAAGCCAAATTTCGTTAAAATCCGTCAAGAATTGTGCCTTCTAGAATGTTTACAAGCTAAAATTTTAGCGCGTTTTCAAGAACAAGGGCAATAACTCATAATAAATATTTTTCAATTTTTCTGTTTTTCAATACAGTTTATCCATTGGTGATAACCAACACTCATGCCAAGTTTCGTTAAAATCCATCAAGAATTGTGCCTTCTAGAGTGTTTACAAGCTAAAAATTGAACATGTTTTCAAGAACAAGGGCAATAACTCAAACTTAATATTTTTCGATTCTTCTGATTTTCAATAGGGTTCATCCTTGGGTGATAACCAACACTCATGCCAAGTTTTATCAATATCCGTCAAGAATTGTGCCTTCTAGAGTGTTTACGAACTAAACATTGAACGCGTTTTCAAGAACAAGGGCAATAACTAATACTAAATATTTTCAATTTTTTGGATTTTCGATAGGGTTTATCCTTGGGTAATTACAAACACTCACACCAAGTTTTGTCAAAATCCATCAAGAATTATGCCTTCTAGAGTGTTTACAAGCTAAAATTGAACGCATTTTCAAGAACAAGGGCAATAACTCATACTAAATATTTTTCAATTTTTCTGATTTTCGATAGGGTTTATCCTTGGGCGATAACGAACACTCATAGCAAGTTTCATCAAAACCCGTCATGAATTGCACCTTGTAGAGTGTTTACGAGCGTTTCTAGAACAAGGGCAATAACTTATAGTAAATATTTTTCGATTCGTCTAATTTTCAATAGGGTTCATCCTTGGGTGATTACAAAGAGCCATACCAAGTTTCGTCGAAATCAGTCAAGAATTGTGCCTTGTGGAGTGTTTACGAGCAATTGTGGACGGACGGACGGACCGACGGAAAGAGGTGACGGCAATATACGCCCCCCATTTCATGTGGGCGTATAAAAATTACCATCAATATCATAATTCTTAAACACTGTTATCAAAATTACTATCAATATTATAACTCTTAAACAGTGCAATCAAAATTACAATCTATAGAAAAAACACTGTAATCCAAATTACTGTAAATATAATAACTCTCAAACACTATTATCAAGATAGATTGCCAGGCAAGGTAATATACGCCCACTGGCAGCTTTGATTTTGAATAAAAATATTTGGCAGTACAGTAACAATTACCAGTATGAAATATTCAACCTTCAGTCATACACTTCTTTTGAACTCTTTAGGGCGATACTGAATAATTGAGTATGAGTTATTGCCCTTGTTCTTGAAAACGTGTTCAATTTTTAGCTCATGAAAACTCTAGAAGGCAAATATTCAATCTTCAGTGCGAGACTGAATAATAAAACCAATTTTGTCAAAATCCCGCAAGAATCATGCCTTTTAGTGTTTAAGAGCTAAATTTGAACGCGTTTTCAAGAACAAGGGCAATAACTCATTCTAAATATTTTTCGATTCTCCTGATTTTCAGGGTTCATCCTTGGGTGATTACGAACACTCACACCAAGTTTCGTCAAAATCTGTCAAGAATTGTGCCTTCTAGAGTGTTTACAAGCTAAAAATCTTCAAGAACAAGGGCAATAACTCATACTAAATATTTTTCGATTTTTCTAATTTTCAAGAATTGTGCCTTCTAGAGTGTTTACAAGCTAAAAATCTTCAAGAACAAGGGCAATAACTCATACTAAATATTTTTCGATTTTTCTAATTTTCAATAGGGTTTAACCTTGGTTGATAACAAACACTCATGCCAAGTTTCGTTAAAATCCATCAAGAATTGTGCCTTCTAGAGTGTTTACGAGCTAAAAATTAAACACGTTTTCAAGAACAAGGGCAATAACTTATACTAAATATTTTTCGATTCTTTTCAATAGGGTTCA